AAAAAAGAAAGCCTCCTATATTATCTAGTAAAATCTAGTTTTAACTTTCAGATTTAGGTTTATAATCAATCCCTTTGGAACTCATTTTTATAGAGTATGAATAACACATTAGATTTCTCTCTTCTTTTTTTCAATAAAGATGTCCATTTTTCTCAGAATCATTTATTAGATGCCTTTCCCCACTATTTTAAGTGCACTTTTATGTGTTTGTGGGTTTTCAATTGTGATCCATTAGTTTGTGTTCACTATACCACGACTTCTAACCCCCGCTGTCTTGATTACTACAGCTTTGTAATCAACATTGTTTCTGATAAAGGAAGTCTTCTCACATCTTCAATTGATTGGTTATTCTTAACCCTTTGTATTTCCATATAAATTTTGGGAACATTTTCTTCTCTCTCTCTCTCTCTCTCTCTCTCTCTCATTTTTTCATATCTCTCTCTCTCACACACACACAGCCTGTACTTTGATTGGCTTTGTTTGAATCTACGAATATAATTCAATTTGGGCAAAACTGAGATTTTTCAATATTGAAGTAGCCAATCCATGACTATGATACAGTATCTCCATTAAGGTTCATAATTATTGTTAATAAAGTTCTATAGTCCTCTCTGTAAAATCTTGTACATCTCTTTTTACATTTATTTTTAAGTACTTAAATGGCTTTTATGCTGTTGTAACAGGTATCTTTTAAGAAAAGTATTTTAAACTTGTTTATGGCCAGTGTCAAAAAATACAATTGATATTTCTATATTAATTTTTGTATCAGAATTTAATCTAATAACTTATCTGTGTACATCCAATATGTTTCCAATTTCATGATTTATCTCATGTTATTTTCTCTCCTCTCCCTGGAAACCCCACACTTTTGGAGAGAATCACCACTCCATTCCCAATAAAATTATAAAAGCAGTGTATCTTCTGCCAGAAAAACACATTCATGCACATAAACACAAAATGTTATAACTATCATAGGATCCACTACCTCCATTCTGCAAAGTAGATTCCAGATTAAAATCCCAGCCTACACATAAGCCCAGTATACATTATGCTCAAAAATATTAATAGTGGGAGGAATAAGTAAATAAATTTGTGCAAGCAAATATACAAAAAAGCAGAGGCTAATGCAGGCATTCATACTGGCCTACAAATGTTTGTCTAAAGGAATTGTTTAAAACATGAAACATAAAATATACTCAGGTTTTAAGTATTTATTTACAAAGTTCTTACTAATACAACTGCTTTTAAAATAGAGCAGTAAAGGGTCATTTACTATTTAAAAGAGATACATACATGGTATAGAAAAAAATCTATATAGTCAGTTACTATTAAAGCAGATAACTGAGAATTGTTAAATGACAATTAAATGTTTGCAGTACTCCCTAAACAAGTAGGAAATAAAAATGCATATATCCACAGGAACTTGATTATTTTGCATTACTGACTATAAAAAAAAACTACTGTGAAAGATAACATCAGGGCTTGAAAAGTATTTTACAACAGCAAATAAATGTATTTCAATTTTACATTTAATTATGGCATCACAATAAAAAGTTGACCATACACATATCTATGTATTTTACAGCAGATTAGTAAAACTGATGCCAACTTTAGAGTTATTTCATTAAGAGTACAAACAATGTTTACCACAATTCCCCATGATCATTCTTCAAAATAAAATTCCACACACTATCAAACTAAATAAGATTTGTTAGTGGCAAAAAAAACACCATAAATATATGTCTGTGAAACAGCTATAAGTATACACTCATATCATGTTTGAGCAAAATATACATTTTTTTAACCTGTCTATCCTTAACTCAATTTGCAAAAGTATTCTGAAACAATTTCCTTTAACTGTTATTCTTTTTAATAAGGGCAAATCTTTTTAAATCCACATGCTAGATCTTGAAAATACTTGAGAATAAAATAAACTGCAAAAGGAGCAGTTAAGTAACTACTTCAAACAGCACATGTGAAACACCCCACTATTTAATCAGAAATCTATCCAGATTTTTATATAGTTAGAACTGTGATATCACTTAATTTCTGCACAAATTGAGATATAAATATGTATTTCCAAATTTCATTTATGGACACTATACAAAGAAATTCACAGCAATATTTGGCATCCACCAATACAATTTATTTACTGAAATCGGGTTGCAAAGCTTCCAATATCATGAATAACTTAAGTCACTGGTCTTCAAATGAAGGATTCAAGCAAAGAGAAAAATTACATCAAAATCAATACAATTTTTTACATGAATTAATTTGAAAAATGTAAGAGGTTAACTTTTTCAAGAAAAAATATCAAATAGTTTAGTGTTACCTATCTTCTTTCCAGCTTTCAGCAAGTGCTAAGGACAAGTACCATTTAAGTCAGTTTCTATTTGACCATGAAGTGTTAAGTTTCTATAAATTAAGATTTTTTTTTTTTAAGTTTCATATCAAATGAGTTGTAGATCTACTTAAGGTATGACTTCTCCTTTCAAAGAAGGAAGGGAGGCTGACAAGGGAGGGTGATGGAATACCCTGTAAAGACAAGACAAATATTTTATATCTAAAATTTTTCTTTTAAAAAATTTTAACATACAGTTTAGCATCATGCATATCAGTTTTACGGTTTACAAATTACCATAACAAGTAATTTAAAGACATGTGAAAATCCTAAACTCTTTAAATAAATAAAATAATTTAAAATTAAGGGAGAGGGGTGGAGAGAAAACATAATTAAAACTATTTCAGCATTCTAAAAACAAAACAAATTAATAGACTAAACTATATAACAACTCATTGGACTAGATATAGGCTCACTGTTATTAGTGGTACCTCTGTGAGATATTAATGATTAAGTGTTTCAAGTTTTTAAAAAATTACAAATTAGTAAACAAATTTTGAAGTAAAAAGACAAACCCTAGTGGTTTCTTCTTAATTTAATCATAAAGCAGAATTAAGAGAATATACTTCATGGGAAATGACTTTCTAATTTAAAAGCCATATACTCTTAAAGGGATTTTGTATTATGTGTGCAACCCACATGTATGTAATGTGTGTATTTGTGTGTGTGTATAATTTTGCTTCATATCAAAATTGAGCAAAACAGCAGCATTTCTGATAATAGAGATTATTAAGTTACTAAACTGTCTAAACTTATTGTTCCAGAGGTCAAAGTTAAACATCATCAGAATTTTTATCAACAACAAAAAAGGATGCACAGCAATACCAAAAGCCCAAGAGTAGGTATAAATCAAAATGAATTCTAAAGAAAGCTACTGTTTTATTTTAACATACACGAATGGCTATATGTAAATAAACTTAGGGCCAACAAGGCAGCAGGCTGTAAGTTCTCATCTATAAGGTGGCAAAACAAAGTGTTTAAAGAGCTGTGTTGGTCAAGTATTACCACTCAATCAAATCATAAAATGATTATTTAAGTAGATGTAAAAAAAGTTCACATTTCCTCAAGTGAAAATTTTCATTTCTATATTAAAAGCATAAATTTTATAAAAATGTCATAAATCTAAAATGAAGAATCAGATTTAGATTATGAATCCACTTTGCAATTATTTTTTCCTGGACCTCAACATAAGTTACACTACAAAAATATTTTTATGTGCCAATATGCAAAGAAACTCTATTAAACCTAAGTTGTAATAAATTCAAAGCAGTTATAAAATTGTGAATTCAAAAGTCCCCACCCACCTAAGACGTAATTCTGTGGAGAAAGAATGCTTTCTTTTTTCACAAATACAAATTTCAAATAGCTAATAAGCTCACATTAAACTTCACGAGGCTGGTTTCCATTACTGGTTGGTATATCTCCTAATTCTTCACAAATCTCAAAGATGATTTGGATAGGACTTTTTTTGAAATTTGAAAAATAAGTATTTCCTTTTAGTATCTCTGAAAAACTAGAATGATGTATAGATCGAAACCAGGAGTTTTGAGAGCGCCCACCAGTAGAGTTTGAACGCTGAACATAAACATGCTTAGTAAATCCAATTATATTGCTTGTGGAAACAGAATGGATAATCTGTTAGAACAGAAATAAGCAATGGAGAAGAGGACATGAATGTCTGAAAGATATTTTAGGTACTTCTTATTTATATTGTCTACATAAAAGTGACAACACCATAAATAATATAAATTAATTTTCTAAAATATTCCTATAAAATCCAAGTACCTTCATTTGAAAACCAATAATGTTTATAATAGTTACTATAGATGCAGAAAATAAACAAGGGATAGTACTTTGGCCTTCAGAAAGCTTATAATCTGATTTTAATAAAAAATGTTTACTGTATTTTGTCAATTTTAATATATTTTTTCACTGATCAAATTTCTTTGCATATATTTATATTTTCAGCTAAATACAATTTATCTCTCATTGGAAGTTAAACTTGGTCAAATATCTGTATAAACATACTCATAGATTTAGCCATAATTCTTTGCTTTATTAACTAAAGACTTAAATAGCTTAAAAAATAAAAGTTATTGAACACGATGCGCCATATCTGGGTAGATTTTATACTAAATTTAATACTAAAAAGTAACCACTTATAAAACACTAAAGCACTCACTATGTGCCAGGGAACTGTTCAAAGTGCTTTGCATAAATTAACATATTTAATCCTTGCAATTATTACCTTGGATTCATTTTACACATGGTGAAACAGAGATCTTTAATAACTTGCCCAAAGTCATACAGCTAGTAAACATCAGAGCCATAATTTGAACATGTGAGTTTTGGGGTTCATGCTCTTAACCACTTACTACTCAAACTGCCTCGCAGTATATAATCACAATATATGCATGTGAGCGCGCGCTTGTGTGTGTGTGTGTGTGTGTGTGTGTGTGTGTGTGTGTGTGTGTGTGTGTGTATTTAGTCCTTATAATAAATAACACTAAAGGGTAAATACTATTAACCTCTTTTCTCTCATGTGCAAAAATGGAGATAAGAGAACAAGAAACTTGATGAAGGACACACAACTAAATGACAGTCACTTGCTTTCCTTAACCTTAGGTTAGGTTAATAATAATTTTACAAAGAACAGACACATCACTCATATACTTAGTGACAGTAATAAATGTTAGAAATGTCCTTAATATTAATTAAATGTCTAATAATTCTGACACCATTAGGGATATGGATTATTCAAAAAACATTTAAAAATATACATATAAATTTAGAACCCATATCATCCTTTGAAGTTCAGCTTCAGGTATTATATTCTACTTATCATAGAAATAGTAAAAGGAATAAAACTCAGTTTTTGTTATATTATTGGAACCAATCTGTATAAACGAACCATCACTATTTATGTTAGTAAAGTGATAGGCCAGACTGAAATATGTTTCTTTTCTTACAGGTTTTAGAACATATCTCAATCCCAATAAAATTTCATACCAAATACATATTAAGTATGTCCATCTCTAGTTCATTGAGGTTTTCTCAGTTACCTTTACCCAATAAAAGAGGTTAGACATTTAGAGATATATTTTTTTAAATGGAGGTATTAAGATTTCCATCTTTAAAAGTTTAATTCCATACCAACTCCATAAATACAAGTAAGTCGTTTGGCCCATTAAATCAAAGGCACTTACTGCTAATGATGACGTGCTAGACAGACGACTCATTACACGCTTGTCACTGCTGGGTGGACTTTTTCCCTCCCCTGAACTTTGGGATGCCATGAGAGCCCTTCGTAGAGCTCTTTTTGGAGTTTTGGAGAAAGAGAATGCTCTTGTAACCTAGATTTAAAGAGTTACAATTAAATCTACATAAACTTAATATAACTGCTAAGAAAAATTAAGCATAAACAAAGCCAAATACACATCAAAACTTTTTGTACAAATAGTGTATGGCAAAACTAAAACTGCTTTGGACAAAGCAGTGAGAAAACGTAGTACAATAAGTCCTCACTTAACGTCATCAATAGGTTCTGTGAGTTTAAGCGAAACAACATATAATGAAACTAATTTTACCATAAACTAATCGATATAAACAAGAGTTAATTCCTATGGCATCTCAGCAACATTATAATGAAATGACACTGAACATTATTCAGAGACCTACTGTACATTATAAACTACTCCATCTTGCATTCATATAGCACTACAGTCCAATGGGAGCAAGAAAATGGGAGGATAAACCTACCTTGGGAGAGAAAAAACCCAGGGTTTTGTCTAATTCCACTAAAATTTAATTGTGACATTTTTTATCCAAAGAAATTTGAACCTTAATTTCTTTATTAAAAAAGTGACGTTCATTTGAATCATCATTTAACATGTTTATCTACTGTACATCATTCGTAAAATGCTGGGAGATACAAAGATGATTTAATAAGGTGAAAGGCCTCCCCTCAAAAGCAAAAAAATAACCAAAAAACAAAAACTTGTGAATCTAGCAGTAGACTATGGCTGCAAATTTCACTTTGACTATTAAAATTCTAGTTCTACTCTAAAAAGCCCTGTTACCAACACCCTTATGTAGTGCTAAACAACCCTGATAAAGTAAGTAGGGAAGTGATCTTCAGCATTAGAAGACTGAACCACACTTATGGTCAGGAATAGATCCCAGGTCTCCTGACTCGGTCATGTGCCCTTTGATGAAAAATAGCTGAAGCAGTATTTAAGCTGAATGCACACATATCCATATGTAAAACACCATCAGTACATTCCTATTGAAGTGGAATTCTTAGAAGTATCACTACAACAAGAATGGGAAGAATAAGCAGTTATTATAATTACTATGCCAAAGATTCACTGAACTAAAACTATTATATTATCTCAGTGGGCCATTTCCTAGATCCAAAAAACAACTTTGTTTTATAGACTATCTTTACACTGGTGTTTATGGCAATATTACTTTAATATACCTTGAAAAATACTTTTTGGAGATATGTTAAATAATAACTTCACTAAGACTCACCCTTTTAGAAGTCTTTTTTATTGCTCTAGATGCTCTACTCAATGTACTGTCCATATCTTTTGTATTTACTTCAAAGGAGTCTGGATCAGCAGTGTAAATAAGATTTTCCTGTTGAAAAATAAACATTTTTATTATTTTAAAATAAACTTTAAAAATACACAACTGTTTCTAAAAATCAAACCTTTATGCACTTGTATACATATGGGAGTATATATAAATGAAGTTACTCAAGATTTTTTATTTATTTGCTCTAGACCATCTCTTTTCCACTTGGTCCATTTGCTAAATGACTAATACTTGTTTAATCCTAATCAGGTAACAATATTTATAGCCACCAGTATCTTTTAAAAATAATATTTAATTTTTTAAAGCATACCATTATAAGAAATTTGGATTAAAATTTTTAGATAAAATCACCCACAAACTCTATTATTTGCTATTTACATTTTGGTATATTCCTAACAGATATTTTCCTACATGCATAAAATATTTAATTTTAACAAAATTAGGGTCATACTATTCGGTTTTATATGTTATGTTTTTCAATTAGCTGTATACTATGCGTATTTTTTCATGTCATTAAATACTCAAAGGAGTTACTCTTAATGAACAGCTTATAGAAATGTCTTCTGATTATACTGCAATTAACTTTATCATTCTACTATTTTTGAACACTTAAAGTGTTTCCACTTTCTTGTTGTTAAGAAATAAACTATCACGATAGCATGAAAAAGAATAAAATAATACTTAGGAATAAACTTAACCGGAGGGATGAAAGACTTAACATGCTGTAAACTACAAAATGCTGTGTTGCTGAAAGAAATTAAAGAATACACAAATGAATGGAAATGCATCCTGTGTTCATGAACTGGAAGATTTAATATTGTTAAGAAGTCAATACTACCCAAAACAATCTACAGAGTCAATGAAATCCCTACCAAATTCCCAATGAGTTTTTTGTTTTTTTGTTTTTTGTTTTTTTGTTTTGTTTTTTTTTTCAGAAAAAAAAATTCATTCTAAAATTCATATGGATTCTCAAGGGGTCCTAAATAGCTAAAATAATCTTGAAAATGAAGAACAAAGTTGGAAGTCTCAAACTTCCTGGTTTCAAAACTCACTACACAAAGCTACTGTAATCAAATTTTCTTATTGCTTTTTCTTTAAAAATCATCTTTGTAAAGGGGGTTAAATATATAGTGATGGAAGGGGAACTGACTATGGGTGATAAACACAATGTGATATATAGATGATGTATTACAGAACTGTACACCTGAAACCTATGTGATTTTTTTAAGTATAGTCACCCAACAAATTTTAATTTAAAAAAAAATCACATTTGGAATCATTCTGTCAAATTCCGGAAAATCCCTATAGGACTTTATAAGAACTTCAATGAATTGACATCTTTATGACTAGTTAGCATTCTCTTCAAGAACATCATAGGTCTCGCCATAAAGTATTATAGTTTTCTTAAAATAGGTTTCATTTGTTCCTTATAAGGCTATTCCTAGATTTATACTGAAATTAAATTTATACTAAATTTTATTGGAAAGGGGGGGGCGCTTCATTTCTAACAATTTTTACCTGGTTACTGCAAAGAGGAAAACTATTGATATGTATTTATATTTTATTTGGCTACTTAATTAAACTCTCAATGTTCACTCTGAATTGGTCAACTTATGACATTTTTTAAAAACTAAAAGTTGAAAAAATCCAATAGAATTAGGTGGGAAACAATTGGAAACTGTAAAAAAATTACTTTAATAAAAATTATCAGTTATGAAATTAATATGTATATATACATAAAAAATTCAGCTACATACAAAACAACTTAAATGGCTAAAATATCTTGTTTATAATAGTATTATAAAGAGAACATTACTGAGGAATAAATCTAACAAGAAATGCTTCACGTCTATGCTTGTATTTCTGGAAAGATAACCATAAAAGTACCAAAAGTTGCACTGCTGAAAAGACTAGTGGGACAGGTGCATATATTTTACTGCAGTACACTTTTATCTATTTTTTTCTTATGCACAAATAACTTTCAATTTAAATTACAGAATAAGGACCACAGCATGAATATAAAACTAAATATTGGTAACTTTAATTTACTCCTTGAATAAAATATTTAGATGTGAAACATATTAATGTATATTTAGTGAAGTGAAATATCGGATATGTTTAATTTTGGTAAAATGCTCTTTTTATAATGAAGGCCGCTGAAATTTAAAGCAATTGCTAATAAAGAAAACAGATTCTCAGTCTTTCTTATTGCTATCTTAACTATTAACCGCCTATGAACTGAAAAGGGAGCAGATGGCTTCACGTTTTCTCTCTACAAACAAATTGCTTCTGATTTGGTGTGGAGGAAATAGATACAAGATCTTTTACATTTTCTAAAAGGCTCTGAGTTCAGAATGGCTGAACAGATGATATAGCTGTTGCTAAGATGTACAGAGTTGAACTTTCTTTAGCTCTCTTTCCATAGAGGAAGGTAAATTCAAGCAAATCACAGACATAGGTGCCCAGTAGGGGAAACTTATCTTCAGTATTCCTAGGCTTTTTTCTATTACTCTTTTTTCTCAATAGTTCCCATTCTCCCCAGAAAAATCTTACTGTTTTCTAATCTATTCCTCTAAAATTTTAAAATAAAAATGAATTTTGTAACATAACCAAAACTCATTTTAATAATACTAATATAATTCTAACAACATTTTATGCCTTAATCAACATATCTCAAGCATTAAAGAAGTTTGGGAAGGGAAAGAGTTTTCAATCAGCCCCAAATGTACCTAAGACTAGTTCTAATGACAGATCTGCTGAGTTTGAGATTATAAAGTAGTAATCAATTTCTCCCACTGAGATACATTATGTTAATTTCAAGAGAAACTGTACCTCAGCTACAAATTTTAGAGGCCTATTGCTGGGTGTTAATTCACAGGAAATTTTCTAGTATTCCCCGACATCTTAAGCCAATAAGCTCAACTACATGTGAATTATCAGACCTCTTTCCCTAAGTTCTCTCCCACTAGTCCTCAAACTCACAGATATAAAAGAAAAAATATCCAATATCATTGTGTCCCCTCCCTGAGCCTGTGCCTCGGTGATTTTGTCAAACTCTGTAACCATGTTTATAGCTTAGATCTTCTGATATGGCCAAACTAAAGTGGTACCAATAACAGACGTTGATATTAACAACTTACCATGTATAATCAGCATAATAATTATAATTTTAAACAGAAATCATATTAACTCCATTATAAATGTTATTGGCTGAGAAACACATTCATCTTGTATATGTTCTATTTTTAGTCTATTCCTCATGTAGTCAGAAATTCTAGCTGTAAGTTTAAAAACTAATAATTAAGTAGCCAGTGGCAATTTCATCAAGATATAGAATTAGCTTGATTTTTAAAGTATAACGGCTTAGTGATAAAGGTACTAAATTGTTGTATAAGACATAGACATTTAATTACTAAGTCACTTTTAAACTATTCAAAATGGGGGGTGGGGAGATAACATTGCTTAAATTCATCTGTTAATAAAATTATTCTTTTGATGTTAGACTTTAGACATCTGTAATGGCTTCAGCAAAGCTACCATGTGACCTCAGGTGATTCATGAGTCTTAAGAGTACAGACCAAACAAATAAAGGTTAAATGTTGGCAAGAGACCAAAAGTACATACCTAAGTATTCTGAGAGAAAATTTTTCAACTGATTAAAAATTAAAACTTTAATCTTTAAATTCTGAAATAACAGAATATGAGACATACTATCCATGGGGAGGAAAAACTACTAAGAATAAAGATACCTAGGTTCTAATGTTAGCTTTATGCTCTTGGCCTTAGTTTCACACGTAAAATAGTATCATATTATGTTTTCTTTCAGACTGAAAATTTTAATTCTTAAGTCATATACAAATGGGTGTGACAAAAGAAATTGTGTACAATAAAATAGTTATACTTATTTTATTCTTAATTATTTAGGACACCCAAAAATATATATAACAGGAGGGCAAAAACTTCTGATTCAAAGGATCAGTGATTTTTATCTTTCATATCGTGTGTGTGTGTGTGTGTGTGTGTGTGTGTGTGTGTGTGTATAGAAAGACCTCTTCAACTTGGCAAATGTTCTTAAATGATAAGACAATGCTCAGGGCTTTTTAAAAAATTTAATGTGCACAATATTTTACATGCAGAAAAGAACTCAATGGGAGTCACTGAATATGTGAATTTACAAACATATTTTTCAGTAACAAAATTCCACAACTTGAAAGTATTTGGTAGCTTAAGACAGTATAAATAAGGACATAGTTAAATGTTTGCTGCCATCTTGTGGCTAATTTTATTTTATGAAATTTTTTCATTAGTTGTTTATATTTGAGTTCTAAGATTATTAGCCATCTCGTGGCTAAGTAATTCAATACATTGTATTTTAAGGAAATATGTCCATTAACTGTTTATGTTTTAGTATTATATTTACATAATATTTAGTATTATGGTTATAAATTTGGAAAGGACTGCATAACCATCTAGTCTGACATCATGATAAATGTAGGACCAACTTCTAAAATAGGCAATCACTATACTGCAAGGATCCATTTTACATATTGATACCTAGAACTTTAAAAAAAACTCTTCCTTATAATGAGTTTTGTAAGCTTTATAACAAAAACTGTCTATCATTTTTCTAACCAGCATTCTATTTTATGACTATCACTGTATTCCCTCTATGAACCTTTATGTGGAACAATCCTTTATTTATAACACCATATTTCGGGCCCACAGGAATTTTAAAAAACAAAAAAATAAAGAAGTCTGTTAATTGTACTAAACACTTAAGGTAGTGGGCTTTAATCGAGTAATATCTACTTCATAAACCACAATAGGTATACCTCCATGTCTTTCAAGGGGAGACTTAAGTAAGATAAAATAAACATTTTGTTGTCACAGGAATGTCCAAGGCAATCTTAGTTCCAGTAGTACTGTACTGAAGAGAGTTATCCGTCAGTACATTCTCCTCTATGTCATTTGTGCAATGATGAAGGGGTCTAGTACATGTCTCCTCCATATATGGTGAAGAAATCAAATTCTCTTTTAAGGGACCTATATTTCATCCAAGAGTTACTACAGGCTACCTGATTTCTGGTGAGTCATTTAACTTTGATAATTTGATTTTCTCACACATATTCATTTTAATCTGTGTATGATAAAGGTAATTATATATTCATAATGGGATTTGATTTTTAGAGGTTGGACTGAGAAAACTGATTTGGCTGCTTGCCTGATAGGAAAACCAACTTGCTACAACTCATCTATTATTTTCAGTTAGATAAAAGAACCACAGAACAGAATACCCTCTATTTTACAAACAGCCAGGTCAAAGAGTACCAATGAAAGTCACAGGGCACATTACAAGTCCCAAAAGCCCCACTAAATCAGAGCCAAAGAAGCTATAAGGCTATGAGGAGCCTATACATAAACAAGAGACTCGAAGAAATGTTTCATGTGTCTATAGTTTTAAAAATTCTTTTCCAAAAGAACTTTTAAACAGCTTTCCTCAATACACTAAATAAAACTCAAAAAAAATAAAATTATCCTATATTCATAATTAACAAGTCATTAGAAACATACAGGTTTAGCCTGAGTGCATCACCATGGAATTTAACTTTTCATTATAATTGTGGATTAAGAACTTACAGCATCTGCTTTACAAATGGTGTTGGCTACATGTCGACATAGCATCTTTAGCCAGTTTTCTTTTGGAAGTTCCTCTGATGTCATCTGGAAACTGAGCAGCACATTTGCCTGCTCTGTTGGTGGCCTCACGAGCAAGGCAAAAGCATTATGGCAATCTAGTTCCAGAATCATAAACATTAAGTGTTATTTTCCTTAGAAAATAATAGATTTATGCAAGTTTAATTCCCTCAGACCAACAAAATTCCAATTAAATTATCTCTTTCCACCATTCCCGTCCTTCTATTTTTAATTGGACAAAGAGCATCACAGTTATCACACTGAAACATTAGAAAGATTTATAATAGTAAGTACCATATGAGCAACCACCAATAATAATTTGACATTAAGTAAACACTATTTTCCATGACATTTATTATTTTCTATGATGGAGTTTTTTAAAAAATTAGATTACATCATTTCTTAGAATTCCATAATTTGAGTTTTAAAATAAAATGGCATTAGAAATCAACCTACTTAAATAAGTTCAAAGAAATAAAATATCCAAATATTAACATTATTACAAAATGTTTTATGACCAACATGCTAAAATAGAACCTATTTTAAACAATGAAATCTTCCATTATAAACCAAAAATATGAAAATGATTTAAAATGCATTAAATAACCCTTAATAAATCCAGACTTTGACAATAAAGATAGCAATATAAATTTATGTTCATGTTTTCTTTAATTGTTTATATTAACTCAAAGCCTTCCATCATTAGAGGACGGGATCAGTAACGAAACCAGCTTACACTGCAAAAATATATGCCCAACATCCAAAATATGGCCATGCAGACACATCAATAGGCGCCAGTTAAATAGATGATATTGTTTTGGGTAGGTACAAACTTTTGGCAATTTCGGGCCTTCAGACAACCCTCCCTAAAACTACCAAAAAGTTGAGAGCAAAAGTTTTCCTTAATACACATTTAACTCCATGTCAAGTCTACTACAGTTGCTTTGGGTAAATTTATTCATGCACATCTATTCCTGCTACATCCTAAATGTATTCTTAACAATACAGCCATTGGAAACAGAAAGTATAAGATGTGGAGCACAAGTAATAGACTGGTGATTTCTTTTGGATTCTGAAGAAATAAAAAGTTCTGGTGTATGGATAAGCTAGGTTAGGGCACTATTTAGACATGTCACCATTTAAGAGATGAAGATATTCCACAGACTGAGATAGCACTTGCATTTGAAAAAAGTAAAATAATCAAGGCAGTTCCTAGAGACAGAGGTGGGACAGAAGTATAAGAATATTTACTTTACCAGAGCTAACCAGCTACATTTAAAGATAATTTACCAGTTAAAAGTAAAATATAAGGGAGTGATTCAAACGTACAATGAATATAAACTATTTTTATTTAACCAATAGTTGACCCAATGAGCATACCTTCTGTCTCTCTTATATCCAGCACCTTCTTAATTTGAGAAAGAGGCATGAGGTGAATATGCTTAAGAGAAGCTGGAGGTCGAGCATGGCCTGGAGGACTCCTAAAAGTGCCAATAACTTTGTGTCGTTTTCTTGCTATCTGAATATAGGGGGGGAAAGTCATTATAAGTAATATGAATAAAAACAAAGACCAAACAGTTAAAGATAAAATGGCACTAATCACATAAATCTATATGCAGCTCATCTATTAGTCCACTAGTCTAGAATATGTGATAAGCAGAGTTACTACATGACAAATGCATACATGTAATTGTGTAGCAGAAATGTTCACGTTTATGAGAAGAGCTCAAAAATGAGGAACACAGGCCAAAGGACCAGATCTATGCAAAAGATCCCAGAGGTGTACAAGAACTTAGAAGCATTGTGAGAAGTAACAGGATCAAAGAACCGAGGAATCTTGAGTTCAGGAAGGAGGATAGTTGTTGCGCTGGATCTGTCTTGGGTTCAAAACATAATTGATGCCAGTTTAAGAGTAGAATTCACAATTATCTCAGATTCTGAAAATAAAGGAGTGAATAACACAGAAATGGTTCTGCCTCTCGTATTTTTATACTACTGAGAAAGAGGAAAATTGAACAACACATTAAACAAATGATATAAACTTTAAACTCAAGGTGTTGTGTTACGATATAACTTTACCTAAACTGGGGATTCATGCAAAAGGAACAGATAGGTAAAGTAACACTTGAATAGCCAGGAGCAAAATCAGAAAGGACCCTGTGATTCATGATGTATCTGAGTTCTGCAAATTTTGTAAGATCTTTAAATTTATTATTTTCATTTCCATGAAAGTCTACTACGTTATTTTGCCTTTTTGAAAGAACATTTCTTTTGAGGTCATAATCATCAACTGAAAGACATTCACACAAAATGAGTTAGATTAAGTTACTCAATGAATTGAGAATGACTGGTCACCATTATAAATATGACAAAGTATGGCTGAAAAGTATACTACCTTGTGTTGGCTAGTTAGAAAAAATCAAAAGACAGTCAGTATCATATTCACATTGAGGCAGACATATGACACAGATCTGTTACATATCAAATATTAAGACTTCCTTTACATTAATATTGTGAAAATAAGCGATAGACTCTTTAAATAATTATTTCCACTGCAATATTTGAATATACTTTTAAATTAATATGGTTAAGCAAAATAAATAATCTTAAGGTTCATTTTTAAAAAGAAAAAACTGACAAGTATTAACGATACAAATGCTACTACATCAAGGTAAAAAATTTCAAAAGAGATAAAATATAAAAAGGGAAATATATCCTTAAATACTATATTAGTTTAACTTCAGTAACGCATCACCTGTCATTTAAGAGAAGCCAATATAGATTTTATCCATTTTAAATGTTTCTAACTTTTATCATACTCTTCATTCCAAATATGCTAAGAAGTTTGTTTTCCTTCTAAAACAAACAAGCTAAGGAATAAGACTTAGGGATTGTAAATCTTGAAGTCCAAATTTAATGTTAGAAATAGAGCTTGAAATTTCAGTTACTGTGATTCTGAGACAGGGAGGCTAACAGAGCAGAACGAAAGGTCACTGGTAAATGAAATGAGAGGCCAGGGTATCACATAATGCACTTGGAAGCTACAGGGATGACCAATGGCAGTAATGAAAGTGGAAGGTAAGTCAATGAGCTAGTTATAGAAGACTTCACAGAATATGAAGAGATGTAATATCAAAAATTTAAAGTTAGCCACAATTATCTCAGGATTAAGGGCATAAAAACCAGAATGGATTATCAGGGAAGTACAGAAAACCTAACCTATTAGATGAATGGGGACAGTTGACCTACTAGGGAATTCAACTGGAAAAACCTATAGAAGCTAATAAATAGAAGTACTTAGCAACTCTGGACAGTAAAAACCCATGATAATGTAAATTCAGGTAAAATGTGATTGACAATTGATTTCACCTAGTCCCTATTCTCAAAAGCGGGGCAGTCTACCGGTCTTATTATGGGGTAAACAAGTCGTTCAGGATTATCTGTCTCATGATTTTTTATAACTTTCTCAGTTCAGGGTATGGTCTATTGTGTACAGGATTTTCACTGTTTTTACTTTTGTGTTTGTGATATTACTGAACAAATGAAAATAGCATTTTTCACTAACCTCATAACAAAACTCTGCATTTAACACAAGTGAATTTTTGGTGGCTGTGCATGACTTTTTCTCTAAGATTCCCTTGTATTTTATAATGATATACATGATACAAGAGGGCAGTACTGGAAGAGAAGTGAAGCAGAAAAGGAAAAAAGAGGTATAGACACACACACACACACACACAAAAAAAGAAACCCATCAAATAACTTTAATGAAAGCAACAGAAAGTTGTTCAATAACAGGAATGTCAAATTAGTCTTCTGGTTAATAACCATCCATTTTATCAAAACGAACAGGTTTATCTTCTGAGATAAAAGAAAATACACTCATTTATATCCCCATTAGGCTGTTCTAGTTGTTTAAAAATACAGTATTAACAGAATAAAAGAAAAGAGGTGAAAAAGCACAGAAACATAATTCAATTTGCCTATGGAGGGATATGGGGGAAAAATTTAACTTAGATGAGAAATTTAGAACTAGAATCACTGCACGCCACCTAGTACACTTATCATTTACTCACTCTAAAATCTGCTGTCTTAAGGAACAATCAGGGAATCATAATTCATAATATTAAATAATCAAGATATCTCTCTCTTCAACAAAATACTGACTTCTTTGCTAGAAAAATCTACTCAAATTTCAAAATGAACTCAATTTTTTGAATTTTACAAATTTACATAGAAACAAGAAGTTCCTAAAATTCTTGGCCTAAGCATTTATTTGCACAGAAATAAACTAAATTTTAATTCTGACTTAAATTTGAAGTCATGGAAATGTATCGTACTTCTTTATAGTACACCTTTTTCTAAAAGCATTCTATTAATAGTATTAAACCAACAATTGGTCTCAATCAAAAAAGTGTGATTATTTAAGTTCACTTTACTTTAAATTTATATGTAATATTTCAATCATAGCTTGGTTTTAAACATTCAACACATGAATATAATATAATGTTATATTATATTAAGTACATCTTTACCTCCAGGCAGTCATTGAAGAGAAAGAGAGTTACTTGTTCTCCTCTGTCACAGGGGTGCTCTCCTAGAGAAATTGTTTCAACTCGTTGGATTAAACTTCGGTGAGAAGATAAAAGATTAGCCTGTATAGATTGAAAATATTAATCAAAGAGATCATTTGGGAGCACGTAACTTTTTAAAAGCTACAATTTAAAAGAAAGTGGTGCCAACATTCTGTTTATATTAAAACTGTAGAATCTAAACAACAAGAAAGAGAAAGTAAATTGGTAATCATCAAAAACAAATACTTACTGGGCATCCATCTACTTCATAAACGACATCAAAAATTTGCTTCTGAGCTTCAGTTTTTCTCTTATCCTCATTAATATGCCTGAAATATTAATTAAGGTTATTTTAGAATTTTTAACTTTTAAACCAACAGGATATGAAATCTGAATACAAATACATCTTGTCACAACAAAGTCCTTCCACTCAGTCTCTATCTTAATTCTGATAACTGAATCAGCTAGTTAAAATATTCCTTAAAAGTATCCCACTACATTAAAAAAAAAAAATTTCATAGACCCTTCAGAAAAGTATGTCTTACTATACTCCTTACTATATATTGGGTTGTCGGAAAAGTCATGATGTATTTTTTCTATGTTTCTCATTGCAAAAATGCGTCATGACTTTTCAGACAACCCAATATTTTTTTTTTTTACTATACTCTGTATACTCTTCCTAAAATACATTAAACCTGTACAATCTTCAGGCTAATATTAATAGTTCTAAGTATGAAATGAAGTTTCATTTCATTTAAACAAAAACTAAAATTACAGCTTTCAGACAAGATGAAATAAGAATAAAAGGATATATCCTTCTGCCTGAAACAACTAAAAAGCTATCAAAATATAAAGAAACAAGGATTCTCAAGACACTGAAAGTCAATTTCTGTGAGATAGGAAACAAACAAGGCAAGCTGGACAAATTTATACTGTCTATAGGAAACATATGTCAAAGACATTAATAGGCTGAAAGTAAAATGATGTAAATACACCACCCAACAATAGCAAAATATTCATTCTTCTCAAATGTACATGGAACAGTCCCCAGATTAGGCCATAAAATAAGCCTAAAAAACTGTGAAATGATTGAAAGTATATTCTCTGATAACAATGAAATTAGAAATTAATAACAAAAGGAAACTTCGGAAATTCACAAATATGTGGGAATTAAACAATACATTCCTAAATGATCCATGGTCAAGAAGAAATCACAAGAGTAATTAGAAAATACTTTGAGATAAATATAAACAATAACACAGCACAGCAAAATCAATGGATACAACTAAAGTAATACTTAAAGGGAAATTTATAGCTTTACTATATGGTAGATTTATAGCACTTATGTGCGTATAATAATAATAAAAATAAAAGATCTCAAATCAATAACCTAACTGCCCACTTTAAGAAACTGAGGAAAAAGAGAGCAAAATGAATCTAAAGCAAGCAGAAAAAGTGAAATCATAAAGATTAGAGTGGAAATTAATTAAATAGGAAATATAAAAATAGAGAAAAACTGACAAAACTTTAGCTAGACTGACAAAGGAAAAAAGGGAAAAGACTCAAATTACTAAAATCATAAATAAAACATGGGACATGACTACCAACCTTACAGAAATTAAAGGGATTATAAGAAAAGACTATGAACAACTAACTATATGCCAACAATTAGATAGTTAAGACATAATGAAAAAAAATTTTTAAAAGGGTTAACCTGGGCCGGCTGAGTGGCGCGTTGGTTAAGAGCTGGCTTGCAACGCCAGCTCTGAGCAGCAGGATCCCGGTTCAAATTCCATATGATGGGGGCCGGTGACACTGCGCCCTCTACAGCTAAGATGGTGAACAGCAGCTCAATCTGGAGCTGGGCTGCTGTGAGTCACCAGCAACAGCGTAGGCTGCAGCCCCTGCTGCAGTGGGCTGCCTTAAAGCTACCATGAGTGGCTGGCAGACGGTGTGAGCAGCCGGCAGTCACTGTGAGCTGCTAAGAGCCGCCGTGAGCGGCCATCCAGTGGCCAGTGGCCGGTGACCAATCTGCCTCACCCGGGAAGAGCGCAACTATAATACCAACATGGGGGGCCGGCCAAGTGGCTCAGTTGGTTAAGAGCTCGCTCAAGAGTTTGAGCTCTGAGCAACAGCGGTTCGAGTCCTGGCCCGAGCTGAGCAGCCACTGAGCTGCCAACAGGTGGCAGGATGGCTCAGCTAAAAGAAAAAAAAAAAATACCAACATGGGCCAGTGAAGTGACATCCTCCACAACTAGACTCAAGAACAAAAAGGACAGCAACTTGTCTGTTCCCCTTCCCCAATTCCCCAATGCTGTTCCCCTCCCCCAATAAAATCTTTAAAAAGAAAAGACATAAAGAACAAATTTCTGGAAAAGACACTAACTACAGAAAATGACTCAAAAAGAAATAGAAAATCTTAATAGATCTAGAACAAATTCAATTAGTAATTTTAAAACTTCTTACAATAAAAATGACTTCCAATTCTTCAAAAAAACTCTTGCAAAAAAATAGAAGAGGGAACACCAAGTTCTTCTGTAAAACCAGTATTAGCCTGATACCAAAGCCAGCCAAAGACATTACAAGAAAACTACAGACCAATATCCTTTATGAATACACTAAAATCCTCAAAAAAAATTAGCAAAACAAGTATAACATATAAAAAAAGTTTATACACCATGACCAAGTGAGATTTTATCCCAGAAATACAAGGTTGAGTTAACAATCAAAAATCAATTAATACAATACACAATCCCAATAGAAAAAAGGACAAAAACCAGATGACCACCTCAATAGACACAGATAAAGCATTTGACAAAATCCAACATACTTTCATGATAAAAACACCAACAAACTAGGAATAACTGAGGACTTCCTTAACCTAATAAAGGGAAGCTACAAAAATCCCAAAGCTATCATCATATCATGCTTAGTAGTGAAAGGCTGAATGCTTTCCACCTAAAATTAATAACAAGACAAGGACAAGATGTTTGCTTTTACCACTTCTAACATTGTACTGAAGCTCCTAGCCAGGGCAATTAGGCAAGAAAATGAAATAAAAGACATCTAAATTGGAAAAGAAGTAAAATGATCTTTACTTGCAGATGACATAATTTTGTTTATAGAAAAGTCCTTAAGGAATCCTCTAAAAACAAATTATTAGAAGTAAAACAGGTTCAGCAAGGTTGCAGGGTACAAGATAAGATCAACATAAAATTCTACTGTCTTTCTATACACTTGCAGTGGACAATCCAAAAATGAAATGAAGAAAGTACTTCCACTTACTATAGCTTCAAAAGACTAAAATACTTAGGAAACAGTTTAGCAAAACAAGTACAAAACTTACATTATGAAAACTACAAAAAATAGTTGAGAGAAATTAATGTTCACGGAACACAATGTCCACGTAAATAAATGTTCAAGGATCTGAAAATTTACTCTTGTTAAGATAACAATATTCCCCAAATTGAAATAGATTCAACAAAATCCCTATAAAATTCTTCACTGTTCTTTCCCACCACCAGAAATTGACAAGCTGATTCTAAAAGCAAAATGCAAACTCAAGAGACTCAAAATTGTCAAAACAATCTTGAAAAGGAAGAACAAAGTTGGAGGACTCACACTTCCCAATTTAAAACTTAATATACAAAGCACTGTAATCTAGACTGTGTGGTACTAACGCAATCTTTGACATACAGATCCATGATATAGAATTGAGAATCCAGAAATAAACCTTCACATTTGAGTTTAGCTGATTTTCAACAGGGGTGCAAAAGCAATTCAGTGGAGAAAAGTTGGTCATTTCAACTACAACAACAAAAGAATATTGATCCATACCTTGCCTTATACAAAAACTAACTCAAAATGAATATTAGGCCTAAATGACTTTTACCTGATGATTAAAAGTACAAAGCTTCTTGAAGAAAACAGACAATCTTTGTGAATCTGGGTTACATCAAGATTTCTTAGATAAAATTATAAAAGTATCACCCATAAAAACTGATAAATTGGATTTCATAAAAATCTAGAACCCGTATTTTTCAAAAAAAATGTTTTTTTAAAAAAGCCACAAACTACAACAAAATATTTGCAAATCTGACACAAGCTTTTTACCTACAATACATAAAGAACTCTCAACTCAAAATAAGAAAAGCCAAATTAAAAAAAAAAAAAAAAAGTAGACAAAGATTCAAACATACACATCCATCAAAGAAGAAAAGATGGATGGCAAATAAGAAAAAATGTTAAACATCATTTGCTATTAGGGAAAATGTAAGTCAAAACTACAATGAGAAATATTACTACCTACCTATTAGAATTTCACAAATTAAAATGACTGACCATACTAAGAGTGGGTAAGGACATGGAGCCACTGGTACTCAACATACACTGTTGGTGGGAAGGCAAAATTGTATAACCACTTTGGAAACAGCTGGGCAATTTTTTAAAAAGTTACATGACCTAGCTATTCCTACTCCTACGTATTTATTAAGAAAAATGAAAGTATGTGTTCATACAAAGATTTATTCATGAACGTTTACAGCAGTTTTATTTGCAATAGCCAGAAACTGGAAACAATCAAAATGTCCAACATATAAATGGATAAATTGCGGTATAACCATACAATGGAAAATAATAAATTGAAATGAATTATTAATAAGCAATAATAAGGACTAATCTCAAAATAATTACACTGAGTAAAATAAAAGCCTGACATAAGATAATATACTGTCTGTTTTCACTTAGATAAAATCCTCGAAAATGCAAATTATAGTGATAAAAAGAAGAGCAGTGTTGCCTTGGGATGAGCAGGATAGGGAAAAGCAGGAAAATGGGTTACAACAGGGCATGAGTAAACTTTTGGGGGTGATGGAAAAGTTCCTTATCTTGATGGTGGTGATGGTTTTGTGGGAGTATATGTATGCCAAAATTAATCAAACTGTATTTTAAACATGTATAGTTTATAAAATCAAATAAGGAAACAAACGTAGTGAAATTACTAAAGCATAGATCTATAACAAATTAAGGTTTATAAATTAAGCATGTGTAACTAATGATATTAGAATTCAATTTTAGGGTTCTTCTGTTTTGCTTAAATGGCAAGGACTAATTGGTGCTCTTATTATTTCCTTTACCTAACAGATTATGGTTGTTGCAACCAACACAATAAACACTTAATCCCTAGGCTAAATGTTCAAGAATCTCAAGAATTCAGGCTTGGTCAAATTCTATAAGGCTTATAAAATCAGCATCACAATTCAACATTAAAACAGCAGCTCCTATAATTCAACATCTTTCATCTAATATGAGCAAGCCATTTAGGGCAGGGATATGTTAGAAAGGTTTGTAAATTCTCAAGAAGTTTAAATAATGTTGAAAAAGGAAGAAATTGCTAATCAACGGTCTTATCAATTTGGCTCATTAACCCTATAGCAGCCAGCCTGACACCATTCTGAAGTAGCCAACAGGCAAATGACTAGTCTATTCCCTAGTTAGGCTACTGTAATCTTTGTTTACCAAAATATATTATACATGAATAACAAACAGCACAAGCTATGATCAAAATAATAGTGGTAGAGTATTATTCTACACATTAAACAGGTAAACTGGGCAAGTAACAACCTCTTAGATTTTCTCTTTTGTGAAGCTATGTAACACTGCCTACTTCAAAGAGTTCGTTGAAAAGGTCAAGGTAAATATGTGTCAGTTTGTTAAACCATGAAGTGTTGAAAAAAACTATTATCCTGGCCACAAAATAACAAATCAAAAGTATGGGGCTGGCTGATGATCACATAAAATATGAACATAAGCAAAAAATAAAACATGCACAAAACTTGCAGCAGCAACAGAAAGTGGTATTCACTAATCTGAGCATTATTCTACTGCTGGACTCTCTTTAGCTAGTGAAGTTCCTCGCTAAAAGCTATTTTGCAAGTATTTTAAGAAACTTTATTTTATATTGAAGCACCTCATGGAATCTCAGGAACCATTTAATTAAATCTATTAAACATGTTGATAGGTCAAGTCCAAAAAGTTGAAGTGCCCTCGCCCTCCATGAGGCAAAACAATGCCAACATAGATTTCAGTTCTGATCATAATAGTCAGAAAAGATAATTTCCGATCAGAACTATGTCTCAAAGTTTAACAATCAAGCTCCCCAAGTCAGTTTCATTTGAGTTTATACTTTTAATACATCTCCAGGCCCAACAATTTATTGCTTAAAATTAAAAGAAATAAAAAGTCAAAAGTAAAAGTGAAAAAAGTATTGTAAACCTTTTCTTTTAATATTCTCATGTTCAAATTCCCAAGTTACACATTAGAGTAATGAATACAAAGACAAAAACAAGCTATAACTAAAGATATATAAAGAAAATGTCTATTAGTAAGTTTATGCCATTTTCAAATTTGTTAACCATTGTTACTATCTGTGCAAATAGTTTAATACCTTCAGAAATAAATGTTTTTTATTAATCAATGTATTCTTACAATAATTCTCTCATCATTTTAATGTGTAACTCCACTATTAGGAAAATAATTTCGATATTTCACAACATTTGTTGATATTTTTCTCTCCATTTATGCATGACTAATTGTTCTATCAATTTCATTCTAAATCTAAGGAACAATAAACATTTGAAATAATGCACTTACGTCATTACTTCCTTTAGTGATCCAATAGCTTTTTCTAGAGTGCTTTTGTCAGGATTTTCTTCAGCTGTATGCTTCTTAAGGTCTGTAATAATAAAATGTTTTGCCCATGATTAACAAAAATTCAGTGGTTTTTCCATCTAAGACTTAAAAATGCTGTTTATCTTAATAGACAGGCTGATAATTTTTAAACAGTATCTAACCTTTACTTAAAATATTTATGCAATGTTCCCTTAAGAGCTCTCTTCTTACTAGTGCCTAACCTTTCAGAATACGTAACACAGATTTTCTTACACTGCTATTTCATTTCCCTTCTAGTAAAGCTTGGGGACTTCTAGATTCCTTAAACTCTCTCGATAGTGCTGAATGAAAACACATGGTCCTCAATTAGTTGAGAAATCATTATATATGTTATACTTCATACCAGCGCCCATGATTCCATCACAGAGAGCATTCGGTGTCCTTAAAAGCAGATTTTGCTCAGTTTATAGGTTCATGGCATGCTTATACTTTGACTCTTCTTATCCAGGTTGCTCATAATGTTCCCTAATCCATGTTTCACCTAACGGTTCCCTAGTACTATGCCCACCTAATCTTTGAAATCAAATGATAGAAGAAAGGCTCAGAAATCAAGTTAATTTGAGTCTTGACAACATTTGATGGATTTCTCCAAGTACTAATGAAACAATAATGAAGCAAAAAAATACGCTTTATAAAGTTAAAGTTTCCTTGCTCATATATTTCCCTTATAATCTATAAAATAGGATAGCTTTTTAAGACTAGAGAAATCATTTCATAAACTAGTCATTATAAACTACATTAAATAAACTTAAAGAGAACAAAAATTGTCATTCTTTTTAGTTGCTACTATAACTCACATAGCCAAAATATTTTAAAGAAAAAAAACAGATTAAACAGTCACAAAATTAGCCTCCTTGTCAGCTATACCTACTACTGTAGTTAAGGTCTGGGGATCAAAATGCTTTATTACATATTTTTTCCTGTTTGTAATTTAACTTTCACACTAAATTTTTATATAAAAACTGACACTGTCCTAAAAATATTCACTACTTTAGTCAGCTAAATGTAAAGACATATTCATATGCTTTTTTTTTTTTTTTTACTGCAGGCAAAATTTATTCATAAAAATTAACTATCGGCTGTACAACTCCCTTCCGTTGATATTTGTAGTTTAAGTTCTAAAATAAATGAATGCATGATTCAAGAGTGTTCTGCACAATCTAAGAAAAAAAAAAAGCAAGCATAAGACCAAGTATACAGAACCCGAGATTCAGAAAAGAATCAAATAACTTGAGACACATGAATCACCTTTTGTCTTGGGATTTTGTGGGTGTATGTTGTGTTTACATGGATGTAAACTGATTTTGAATTAGTGACACACCATCAAATGTGAAAAGACTTTCAATGGAGAGATACAAAGTACAATACTAGTCAATATAATTGATATCAGTATTGATATCAGAACAAATACAGTTTTTAGGCCAGACTGAATTTTTGTAGCATCAGGAATTAAGATTATCCATAAAGATATTTTCTATATAAAAGATATAAACTGTAATGCTGAAATCTAAAATAAAACTATGAAAATGAAAAGAATTTCAAATTTTTTAGAACAAAACAATTCCATAAAAACATCCAAAGTAGTCTAAAAACAGATGAGATAAGTACCATTCAAAAGTAACGCAACACTGGGTAACCTCTGGACTGGTCGGATGAGAAGTTCAACAAGGCTTTGCCGTCCACATTCTGGTTTAGCCTGGTTTATCTGAAAGAAATTAATTTATTCAACAAGTTAAAAATAAAGTTTTCTGCAAACATTAGATACCTTACATGTATTAGTTTACACCTTATCATTAGAGCACTGATAAGAACTTTGAGGAGAGGTGGGATGGTTGGCAGTTGTTCACTGGCAGATTAATGTGGCCAAATAATCTCTCAGGACCTGAAATGACCTCCTGGCCAAACAATAGTTAACATCTTAAACAGAAGTTGAGTTCCTTTACAGACTACTATATAATTTATCTTAAGCTGCTCTTAAGCCTATATAATTCACAAGAAAAATTTTTAAGTGTTAATTATGCTGATAACATTGGATAAACAAAGTAAAGCACTGGTAAGGGGCAAAAACCATTAAAGGCAAAACAAAATGGCCCTGGAAAATCTTCAGGTGTTTGAGAACTGAAACATGTATAACTTAAAAAAAATACATATCATATACAACCTTCTCATTCACTTAGCTGCCTCTTGGACCCTGCTACGTAATATACCAAATCTTCTGAAGCTAAACATCACTGCCACTCTCAGGTACAGCTAAAGTTAATAGAAAACATTAAGGTATTCTTACATGGATACGTTTTTTATTATAAGTCTAATTTTAATGAACTCCTTTAGAAATTATTCTCAGATTTTTATTTGAAGGAATGTACATTAATTACCTTCAGAAAAGCATGAAATCTTGGTTTCTGTTTTTCACATTTAATTATTGTTTCCTTGCTCATTTCAAAGAAGTTTACAAAGGGAGGGTAGGTTTTTACCAAATCTTTTGACTAGGAAGAAGAAGAAAAAAATTAATTTATACTACATGTCACCCTTAGACAATGAAACTTGAAGTAAAATAATCAATAGTCACAATCTGACATATTGAACGCAAAAGTTTAAAATATGTTTCTTGTCAAGTTAAATTCAGAAATTTATTTTATAAACTTCTCACTAATGAGTTAACAGTTAAACAAAATTTTGGCCTCAAATGGTACACACAACCTAAAACTTGAAAAGCAAATAAAGTCCCTAAAAGAAATAAAAGTATATTAAGGCTCACTGAATTGATATAAACATGACAAGATTAAAATCTTCTACAAATTTATGACAAAGGAACCAAGAACACACATGGAGAAAGGAGTCTCTTCAATAAATGGTGTTGGGAAAACTGGACAGCCAAATGCTAAAGAACGAAACTGGACCCTTACACCATACATAAAAATTAACTTTAATTAATTTTTTAATTATTAATTATTAATTTTTAAAAATTAATTAAAAATTAATTTTAATTGAATGTAAGACCTACAACCATAGAATTCCTAGAAGAAAACATAGGTTAAGCTCCTTAATGTGGGTCTTAGGGATGTTTTTGTGGATCTGACTCCATAGGCAAGGGAAAACAAAAACAAAAATAAACAAGCGGGACTACATCAAAGTAAAAGGCTTCTGCACAGTGAAGGAAACCATCATCAAAATGAAAAGGCAACCTACTAAACGGGAGAATAAATTTGCAAATCATACATCCAATAAGGGGCAAATATCCAAAATATATAAAGAAGTCATACAACTCAACAACAACAAAAAACCTGATTTAAAAAAGGGCAGAGGATCTGAACAGACATTTTCCTAAAGAAGACATACGGATAGCCAACAGGAATATAAAAAGATGTTCAATATTATTAATTTTAGGGAAGTGCAAAACAAAGCCACAATGAGAAATCACCTCACACCTGTTAGAATGACTATTATC